TTCTTCCTTTGTGTTTTTATTTTCCTGGGAGTGTCTTCCTCATGGCAGCCTCAGTGGTCAACATTGCTTTAGTTATGTTCATCCTGAAGGTCTTTACAAAGGACAGATTTGCTGTAGTCACACTGGTTGTCAGTTCTTTTCTTTGAGTGCTCTAAATACATAGTTCCACGCTCTGGCCTTTAGCATTTCTGTCAAGGAGTGTGCTGTTGTTCTGACTGGTTTGCCAATCAGGTTCGTTGTTAGTAACTTGGCTCTTCTCTTAGTGGCTTCCAGCATTCTTTTCCTGCTCTGTACTCTCTGCATTTTACCTTGAGTGTGATATGACAAGATTATTTTCTCAACATATCTATGTGGTGGTCTAAATTACCACTGTACCTGGACGTCCTAATCTTTCAGTAGATACAAAACATTTTATGATATTGCTTAAGTGAATAGGTTTTCTATATCTTTAGCCTGTAATTTAGCATTATATTCTAATAAAATAATGTTTTTGTTTGGTTTGTCTGTTATGTCCTGGAGGCCATCATATTTTTTCTTTATTCCTCTCAGAAAGCAATAACTCATTAAGCTTGTCTTTGAGCCCTGATATTTTATCTTTCAGTTAATTTAGTCTGTTGGTGATGCTTTCTCCTGAATTTTAAAAATTTATTTGCAGTTTTCAAAAATTTTTGTTTATAAAAGTTCTCAATTATCACTCATATCCTATATTGTTTTGCTTATTTCCTTCAGCTGTCTATCTTTTTGAAGTTGTAATCCTTATTATGTTAACTCTTGAATGATTTCTTCAGCACTTACCCAATTTAAATATGTAAATATTCATTTGCTGACATGTTATGATCTTTTGAGGAAGTATTGTTTCCTCACATTCTTGTGTTTTGTTGTTGTAGTTTGTGCACCTGTGGGAGGGAATCTATTTTACACATCAGTGTGAGGATTTATTGTTAAGCTTCCTTCTACTGAGGGCTTAATCCCTAGCACTGGTCACAGTACAGGAAATAAACCACAGTAACAATACCGGCAGAAACCTCCTACAATAATGATAATGAGAATAATGACATAATGGATAGGAGGTAGTGATGCATACTTTTAATCCCCGTACTCAGGAGGCAGAGGCAGGTGGATCTTGAGTTCAAGGCCAGCCTAGTATGCAGAGTGAGTTCTGGACAGTTAGGGCTTCCAAGAGAAACTCTATCTCAAATAAACAACAACAACAAAAAGATGTAGAAGGTAAGATTAGAACAAAGAAAAGAAAAAAGAGCAAGAGATTTAAAACAACATAGTACCAGAGCATCATTCACACTAAAGAACTTTTTTGTATACTCTTTGCCACTGCTAGCCCTAGAGGTCTTTGCAGCCTGTAGTCCAGGTAGACACTTCCGTTTGTGGGTTTGTCTAAACAAAGCCTTATCTCCCACATGCTTTGGGGGAAGAAGGGGTCCCAAACAGAGCATGGAGTTCTGCAATGGAGAGAAGTCCTGGGAGCTGAGCTGTGTGCCTAAGCATTTTCAGATCATACCAGCAGCAAACCACCATGCAATAAGCAAGAAGCTGTGGAAATGGAGTCATCCTTTCACTTGGGTTCTCAGTCCCTGTCTGCTGCACACAAATAACAGCATGAGGCAGTTTCAGAAACCAAAGAATCTCCCAGCCACCTGCTCAGAACTCTCAGGCTCAGCAGTCATCCACAGGAGCCATGTCATTCCCGGTACAGGAGGCAGGGCTGCCTGTCCTCAGGCCTCCACAGCCTGAGCCAGGAGTGTGTCTGTCAGTCACTCCCACCTGCACGGCTGTGCCTCATGGCTGCCCACCACCCAGTGCATCCCAGGGCACCGTGACATGTGCTTGATGGTTTTGGATCCCCACCACAGCTCAAACTCAGAGAACAGAATCTCCTGGTTCTAGCACTGTGAGAGACCGAGTGTGCAGAGCTTGGTCTGTGCCCATCTGTGTTCCTTTGTATTGTATAGGACAGTAGTTTTCAGAGTGTGCCTTGCCCTGGGTGACTCCATTTTATACAGCAGTGGTTTGCTTCATTTTGAAAGCAAATGCTGAGGCAAAATGACTCAATATCTTACATGTGCAAATGTTCAGCAAGTCAATAATACATAGATTGATAAATAACTTATCAATACAAATGAATTATTCCTACTTATAAGCATATCAAGCTAGAAACATTTAGACCCATGATGCTTGAAAACCTTGCCTAAGAAACCAAGCTTGTGTCCTTGTCCAGAACACCAGAGCAACAAGCACTGTCCTGCCCTCACTTGGATCACACCCACTGAGTCATCATCAGGCCACCTGATAAGTGCATCACTAGACACAAGGCAACAGACTCTCAACTCTGACCCCAGGACTTCTGCTCACCATGACCAGCCCTATGTGAAGTGGCTCACTTGAGCTCCCATTTGTTCAGACCCCTTATGCCTGGAGTCAGCTCCGTGCTTTGGAGCAACCTGTCCTTGAACCCTCTCTGGATCTTGAACTGACACTGTGCCTTGAACCAACTGAGTATTTATTGGCCACCCTGTTCCAGAATAGCTCTCTCTGCTGCACTTGTATCAACTCTGTTTTCCTTCCACAACTCTGCTTTAACCTTGCACCACTGTAACCGTTCTTGATACTGTGTATCATTGTGTTCAATACAGTCTGTGATCTGAGAGACAATATTGGTCACTCAGATGGGAAGGAACCAGTTTACACTTGCCAGAAGCAGAAGCCTCAGAAAAAACAAAAGTGCCTGAGAAATGAAAGGCAAGAAAGTTGATGCAGCTTGTGAATGCATTGTTCTTCAATATTCTGACATGTGGACAACATAAGTGTATCCATGCATGTTTTTCCCATGGCATCCCCATGACAGTGACTGGTTCAATGATTTATCCCAGTACTGCTCTGCCATGCAGGAGGAGACAGTGTCAGGTGGAATACCCGAGCTGGATTTAGGCTCATGAGAGTGATGGGTTCCTCCTGACAGCATATTGTCACCAGGGCAGCCTGTTTGACCTTGGAGTTGCTGCCCTGGCCTCACACAGGCTGCACATGCACGGGCCTGTCCTCTCAGGCCCAGGCCAGTGATTCTCTATGTGCTGGTTGTTTTCTGCAGGTTCCTCCTCACATGCGATCTTGTTCAATTACTTCAGACCCTGTTGTCAAGTCCTGCAGACTTCTTATGCTCTCATGTACCTCTCTGTCTTTCCAACTTGGAGCTTCTTTTTTCCTATGATAATTCTCATCCAGAATGGTTTTCATTTCAGTTGTGTATTTTTCCAGTTCTCCTTCTTAATCTATCAGTGTTTAAGTGGTTGCTAAATGTATTTCTGAAATCTTAATTATGATGGTTTTTAAAATAGATTTTGTGTCTTGTGATAAGAAATCTATAATTCCTTTCTATCTTTGAGTGTAACAATGAATTGCCATATTATTAATGATTGCTAATCTCAGTCTGGATTACTTGTGAACCTCTTTCTATGTTCTCACTTTAGGGATATTTGATCATGTTTACTGGCATGCCTAGAAATTTGCTATTGAAATTTTGGATAACATTTTTTGAGCAGGAGAAATTTAACATTCTTCCAGCAATGTCTGTGTACAGCACACTAATGTGGCAGAGGCTTGGCCCCATAGTTTGGTTTGTCTGAATTCCCAACGCCTCGGCCCTCTGGACCTCGAGTCACAGGGTTTAGAGCATGCCATTGTTCTGAGGATCCAGGTTTGCCTGGTGACAGATTGCTAATAGTTTCCCCAGGAATAACAGGGCATCTGGCAGATGTGTTCAGCAGGTTTTGTTTTCCTGCCTTTCCTGGAGTCGCCCTGTACTTTTGAGGTTTTAGGTGCTCATGGCAGGAGGGAAGGCAGGAGAGGGCTGGGTTGGCTCCAGTGCTGCTGTCCCTCAGCCCTGGCTGCTCTGGTTGGTGTCATCAGAGCTCTTCACACAGCTGCTCCCACCCTGTCTGCTTTAAGGTGGCTCCTGGAGGAGCCTTGCCTGAGCGGCTGGTCCCTCACAGGCAGGAGCTCCCTATCAAGATGTCAGCTCTTAGAAAGGAAACCAGCTGTGTTGAAGATGATATTTTAAACTGTTTTACAAGCTCAGTACACCAAAGGTCTTACTTTAAAGCAGACATTAATAACTTGTGAAAAGAGACATTTAAAGTTCATTTGTAGCTGGGCGGTGGTGGCACACGCCTTTAATCCCAGCACTCGGGAGGCAGAGGCAGGTGGATCTCTGTGAGTTCGAGGCCAGCCTGGTCTCCAAAGCGAGTTCCAGGAAAGGCGCAAAGCTACATAGAGAAACCCTGTCTTGAAAAAACCAAAAAAAAAAAAAAAAAGTTCATTTGTATTCTTTTTCCTTAAAAGTCTTAAGCTGATTAGCTACTGATTTGGTGTCCCTAATTATTGTCATCTTAAAATCGAAGTCTTGCTAGAATTTCAACATTCCCATTCCAGCAATGTTGATGTCATTGTCAGCAGTTCATCTTCTTAGCATCTGAAGATGCCTGATGACCAGAGGTACAGTCTGAAGCTGGAAATATCAGAAATTTTTCCTGATCGCTGTGCATGTCCAACTTATAACCATGTTATATTCCATAATCACACACCCACACATATACACATACACACAAACACATGCACACACAGGACATGTGTTAATGGTGGTCATGTAGTCTGCATCTGAACTTACATTGTATCACAATATGCTCTTGAAGTAAGACAAATCTGCCCCCTCATCTGTCCCCTTCTTATATTATGAATTATGAATAACATTTATACTCTACGCATTAAGGCTCATTTGTTTCTTAGAAATTTGATGTCTAAGGTAGTCTTATGTACTCAGATATGTCTACTTCTCATTGGGTCCTTAGGTAATTACATAGATATGGACTGTTAATCAGGAAGGAATCTGCCTATGACTGCACAATTTAGAACAATACTGAAGTGTGCTATTCCATGTAATAATGATGTGTGTGTGTACCATCAACTCACTATTGCTGTTCCTTCTACAGGAAGGAAGAACCTCTGGAGATGTCTTCCAATAATGACCCTGTTGCAATCCCGATGATAGAAAAAAATCCCAATGACCTTCCTGGAATGGACACCAGTGACCCAGACACATTGACTGGAGAGGCTGTGTTGAGTTTTCATAACATCAGCTATCGAGAGACAGTGCAGAGCAGCTTTCCATTTTGTAAAAAAACAGAGGAGAAAGAAACACTATCAAATATCAAGTATGTACATGAACTAAAGAGACCACAACATTGAACAACTTTTTCAACAAATTGTCTATTATCAATAAGCTGTGTGTGTATTTGTGTGTGTTCAGTGTATATATCTGTTTAGTGTGTGTTTAAGTATATATGTGTACATGTATATATATATATATGTTTATATGTGTGTATAAGTGTTGACATGTGTGTATAAATGTATGTATTTCTGTTTACATGTGTCTATAAGTATATGTGTGTGTATGTGTTCACATGTGCAGATGTGAGGACACTATGACACACCCGTGGCACAAGGCCATCACAGGACAACCTTGAGCACTGATCTTCACCTTCTACCATGGTGCAGACAGAGTCTCTTGCTGTTCACTGCTGGGTATGCCAGGCTAGCAGCCTGCAAGAGTCCTGGGATTCTCCTGTTTGTCTCCATCTCTCCACAGAGCATGGAGTTACAGGTGCCCCCTACTGCACCCAATGCCATGTGAATTCCAGATGTTGAACTTAGATCCTTACCCTCACACAGCAAGTGATTCACCCATTGAACCATCCCCCAGCCTCACCTTGCCATACATACAGATAGGTTCATGATCACAGTGAAATTAATGAGATGGAGACTAAAAGAACAACTTACTGGTTTAATGGCACCAAAAGTTGGTTCTTTGAAAACACAAAGAAGCTGGACACTCCCTTAGACATATTACACACCAAAAACACCCTGAGAAATGATTTTAATTCAGTAAAATTAGGGATGAAAATATAACATCAAAGACACACTATTAAAATCAACATATGATGAGGGAATATTGAAAATTTAATTAAAATATTAAAAATTTGAATATATAAAGGAATTGTATATGTGTCTGTCTGCACATGCACTCTCATAACTGAACTGAGGGTTTCTTACAAGCTGTCTGGGTCAGTTACAAGTGATGAGATGGAAGCAATGAGGAAGTCCCAACAGCAGAAGGTCCAGGGCCTCATGTATTTGCTCAAAATTCATTAAGAGCTAAGAAGAGCTAAAACCAACATTCCACACATTGTTCCACAACATAGAGAAGCTGTGCTTCTGACTAAATTCTGGGGACAGAGCACACACACCAAGATTCCCCCGTTCAGTCTGTATAGACTCTTCCTCCCAACCCCAACCATGGCCCCTGTTCTTGGGCACTGGTCATTTCTGCTCTTCCATCAGAACTTCCATCATTTTCTTACTAAGGGGAATGGGCAGGGCAAAGGATTGACACATTGTCTGGATTGAAAAAAGAAATGGGAACGTAGCTAAGTTTTCTATAAAAATATGCCTTTTTTCAATCTGGATATTCACTACTGTCAATCAATCAGTACCTTGTGTTTGTGCTGTACATATACATCAATGATGAATGTCCTCTACCTGAAGGATATCTCCCAATTCTAAACTGAGAGTATTCTAATTGCTTTATTTGGAAAGGAAAACATTTTGTGGGTTTGTATTTAGCTTTTCTATTTTGATTAAGGTGGCAATTTGTTTTGTTTTGAATGTTAAGCTTGGCAATGCTCTCCTGTCCTCTGGAGAGATTCTTTATAGTCTTTGGGTTTCTATTTAAGATGCATTGATTTTGGTTTGATCCTATTTTAATAGTAATGTCACTGCCACTGATATCCCATGAATCACTGGTTTGTTGTGATGAGGTTTACAAGGCAGCAAGCAGGGCAATATGAAGACACTGATCATCAAACATGAACAAGAAGCTGTTGTGTACTTGATACATAAAGACCATATGTGTAATAGAGACTTCATGAGAACCTGCTGCTTGCTTCAAGGAACACTGAACTTAGGTGCACCATGTTTTAAAAAGACAAGTCCTTCAAATAATAAACAAATGGATTTTGTGATATCTGAGGCATTTTCCTTGTGAGTCCCCACTAGCATTCAGCATCTCTCATAAACAATAAACCTCTGTTAATATTAAAATTTCCTGTGAGTTTGTACTTATTATGTGTGTACAATTCCATCCAATTTCAATAGAATATTCAGTGTAGACACTAAGCTAATATAACTTTCTTTAAATAGAAAATCAATCAGTATGACTTTGTGTTTACAGTGGGATCATGAGACCTGGCCTCAATGCCATCATGGGAACTGATCGGAGCAGATCTTGGTGAGTGTAACGGAAAGCACATCTGAGCCCTTTGTATCCAGTTTCTGTGCTGTAAAATCACTTCCACAGGGGTTATATATGTATTGTGTGAGTGCATCTGTGAATATATATTTGTGAGTATATCTGTTAGTATATATGTGTGATATATCTGTGAGTATATATGTGTGAGTTTGTAAGTATTGTGTGAGTATCCATGTGTGAGTCTGCTCCCATGTGCTGTGTATAATGTGCAGGAGGGTGCATTCAATTTTCTACCCATAACAGAAAGTCTTACTAGGTCCACTTTACTGATAGGAAGTGATAGAGTGATGGGCATATGGAGTTGGGTCATATTATTATCTAATGTGGGAAAATAATATTAAAATTAGAAGATGGAGCAAAGTTTTCTGGGAACAAGAAATCATCACTAGGTCCAATTCTCAAAATCCAGCAGCTCATTACGAGTTTGAGTCCCCAGGTCAGATGGCAGGGAGGGACGGTCATGTGGATCACATCTTGCATTCATAATTCTGGGCTTTGTTAGAGCACACAATGAGCAGAAAGCAGTGTGTGTGTGTGTGTGTGTGTGTGTGTGTGTGTGTGTGTGTGTGTGTGTATGTGTGTGTGTGATTTCAGTTCAACTTTTGATATGCAGAATATTTATTTTTTGAGTAGCTAAAAGGTGATAGCTTTTACTGAAGGGAGAAAGTAAACTACACAACATATATAACCCTTTGTAGGTTATTGGATGTCTTAGCTGCAAGGAAAGATCCACGTGGATTATCAGGAGATATTTTGATAAATGGGAAACCTCGACCTGCTAATTTCAAATGTATTTCTGGTTATGTACCACGAGTAAGTGTTGGTGGGTTTGTAATTTTAGATTTCCCCTGCTTCTGTATGGGTAGATGCTCAGCTTATAGATTTGTGTGTTTACATTTAAGTATATGATACATTTATAGTCCCAGCTTTTCCTAAGGACTCATTAGCCTGAGGCTGGCATTATTAAATAGGAAGAAGGGGGAGGGATTGGAGTGTAGCATCTACAGCACAGTATTTGTAATTGAGGCTGTGATTTAATTCTACAAAGACTACTGTTGTCTGACTTTGCTGTTCCTTCATCTTTCTCCACTGCTTAGAAGTTGTTTTCTGCAAATAATTGCAGGTAGCAGTCACCTAAATCTCTTGGAAGGCAAATGGGAGGGTGTGTGTGTGTGAAATGATTGCTTCAGGCTCTGGATTGAGATTAGTAACACTGGAAGCTTATCTTTCAGTAGAGTATTACATTGTGTGTGGTTTATATGAGGATTAGGTTACATTTGTTAAAATGATTGTCTTAGTGATAACTGTATTTAATTGAAATACTATTTATCCTTAAGAAAGACGTGGTGATGTGCACAGTGACTGTGAGAGACAATATAGAGTTCTCGGCAGCTCTTCGACTTCCAATGACTGTAACAAAAGATGAAAGAAGAAGGAGAATTGATGAGGTCCTTGAACTTCTGCATCTGGATGAAGTGGCAAATGTCAAGGTAATGTGAAGAGAAACCTTGAAAGACTCAGAGAAAAAAAAAAAAATCCCTGTGTGGACAACATGACCCTCAGTCATCAGTTTCCTCCAATGTGTGTGGTCCAGGTGGCTGCTCTCTGTATTAATGAGTAACTGACTGGTTACATGATGTACAGTGGAGATTGAGCTGGGAAGCCTTCTTAGCAACGGTTAAACCTGGGAATGGAGTGTGATCCAGGAGGGAAAAGTGTTCCTCACATGGCCATTTCCAAGTTTCCTCACATGAGCCTCCTCCTCCTCAGCCTTAAACTCTTGACTCATGGAGAATCTGACAAGGGCTTTCTTCTGTTTATTGTCTCTTCCCCGAGGACTTGTCCCTTTGCTGTTTCAGAATGTTTTCTGGACTGACATATGACGTGGGATTGAGGATTCTGGCTCTGTGTTTTCACTCTGCATTTATTTCCTCCAGGGTTGTACGTGGTCTCTTTAGCATTTCCTTCTGACTTGTTCAGTGCTCATTATTTTCTGTAGCCTTTCTGTGTTTTTATCTCATCCTGTCTATGGTGGCTAGTGTTAACTGTCACTTTGACACTGTAGCTAGAGTTTTCCTGCCTGGCCCACGGTCAGGACAATTCTCTCTTACCCGCCAGTCCCGCAGCTGCTCAGACCTAACCAAGTAAACACACAGAGACTAATATTGCTTACAAACTGTATGGCCGTGGCAGGCTTCTTGTTATCTAGTTCTTCTATCTTAAATTAACCCATTTCTATTAATCTATACTTTGCCACGTGGCCTGTGGCTTACCGGTACCTTACATCTCACTTGTCATGGCAGCGACTGGCAGTGTCTCTCTCTCTCTGCCTTCCTGTTCTCTCAATTCTCCTTTCTGCTTGTCCCGCCTATACTTCCTGCCTGGCTACTGGCCAATTAGTGTTTTATTTATTAACCAGAGCAATACATTTGACATACAGAACATTCCACAGCATGGCACAGTCTTTAGCTACCTGGAATCATCTAGAAGAGAGTCTCAATGAGGAACTGTAGTCAGTTGGCTTGTGGGCATTTCTGTAGGTGACTGTCTTGATGGAGTTAAGCGATGTGGAAAGACCCAGCCCACTCAGGCAGCACCATTCTTTGGGTTTGGGTCCTGGGTGTCATGAGAATGGGGAAAGTGAGTTGAACACTGACAGGCTTGCATGCATTCATCCTCTCTGTGCTCTTGACTGGATGTAACCGGCTTCATCGGCTTCCTGCCTAGACTTCCCTGCAATGGTCAACTGTACTTTCAAATTTATGCTGAAATAAACCTTTCACTCCTTGTTTACTTTTTGCAAGATTGTTTTATCTTAGTAATTGGATGGAAATCTAGGATAGCCTTTTGTCCCTGCTCCCTTCTTCCTTATCTTCTGTCAATATTCATTCCCAGCTTCTATGTTAGGTTTTAATGGTACAAACTTGAGCAAGAGCAACAAAGAGTGGACCTGGTGACTCCTATGAAGATTTGTGCAGAATCAGGAGGGGCAATAGATAAGTGGTGAACTTCACAGCTAACTATGTCATAGCTAACTAGTTTCTACTAACATATTTTAAAAGAGTATTATGTAATACTTCATTCATAAATACTTAACTATTCTTAATCTTTAAAAATTAGTTATATCTGCTGATTTAACAGTTCCATTCTTTTTGTTTTGTTTTGTTTTGTTTTGTTTTTCGAGACAGGGTTTCTCTGTGTAGCTTTGTGCCTTTTCCTGGAACTCACTTGGTAGTCCAGGCTGGCCTCGAACTCACAGAGATCCACCTGGCTCTGCCTCCCGAGTGCTGGGATTAAAGGCGTGTGCCACCACCGCCCAGCCAACAATTCCATTCTTGACTATCAAAATGAATAAAATCTTGATATCCTCAGCCTGTCAGGTCTATAACCATTTGCAGTCCCCAAATGTTTATGATTACATTGTCTATAGAACCTGCAGGCATTTAATTTATTATATGCCCAGAGTTTTCACCATTAGGCTTGTTTCCCTCTTCTTGTGTCTTCCAAACCATCCTGTCTCTCACAGTGACATCGACTCATTGAGACGATTACATATAGATGTTTGCAGAGCAGACATCTGGTGGTATGGATGGAAATGGGTTCCCCAGAATATGATTCTCATGGATTAACTCTTGTGGTGGCTTGTGGTGGTATTGTGTTCCCCAAAATATTGTGCATGCTAATAAACTTATCTGGGGTCAGAGAACAGGACAGGATGATATTAAATATAGAGGATAGGCACCTTTAATCCTAGCATTCCAGAGGCAGAAATCCCTCTGGATCTCTGTGTGTTCAAGGATACAACCAAGCATGGTGACTCACGCCTTTAATCCCAGGGAGTGAGTCAGAAAGCAGAAAGGTAATAAGGCATGAGGACCAGAAACTAGAAGCATTTTGCTGGTTAAGCTTTCACGCTTTCGAGGAGCAGTTCAGCTGAGATTCATTCTGGATGAGGACTCAGAGGCATCCAGTCTGAGGAAACAGGATCAGTTGAGGAACTGGCAAGGTGAGATAGCTGTGGCTTATTCTGTCTCTCTGATCTTCCAGCATTCAGCAATAACTGGCCTCAGGTTTGATTTTAGTAATAAGACACTCTAAGATTCCTGCTACAGTGGCTCCTCCTTAGAGGCAGTGAGGATTAGGAAGGTACTGACTGTCGATTCTCACAATACTTCTCCACAGTCATTTATGAGATGTTTGTCTTTTGGGGAAGAATAATAGAAAAGCTGATGTTTGCCACAGTTTCTTTTTTCCTGAGTGATGGAATTTTGTTTGCTTTGGCTCTGTTTATTTACATGGTTTTATGTTTACAGCAAGGTACTTTTTTTTTTTAACAATAGTTAGTCATTGCCCTAAGTTCCTTACTTACATTGTAAGAGACAGCATAGAAAGATATTAATTACCTTCTTGAAAGTCATGAAATGTAATAGATTACAAGAATTTTCATATAATATTTTAATGATAGCTTTCAAAAAAGTTGTGTATGCATGCATGTATGTGTGTGTATGTGTCTACCTGAATGCCATAACACACACATGGAAGTCATAGGACACCTTTGTCATGGGTCCATTCTCTCTTCCCACCTTGATTTTAAGTCAGGCTCTGTTTATTCTGCTGATGCTCTACAAGTATACCTGATGTTCCTGATGCTCCTGACCCGCCTCCCATCTCACTGTAATTACATCTTGATGGAACTGTAGATGCATTCCTCCACATATAGCTTTATATGTGAGTTTCAGGGATTGAACCCAGTGTTCAGGCTTCTATGGCAATTGCTTTTACCTGCTAAAACTTCTCTTCAGCCTTTTATAAGATTTTGATTAAGAAATGTAGAGGCTGATCTCAGTCGGTGAATGGATGAAAAAAATGTGGTACATATACACAATGGAGTACTACTCAGCAGAGAAAAACAATGAAAGCATGAAATTTGCAGGCAAATGGATGGA